CAAATTTCAATTTTTCAACAAAATCAGAATTTGTTTTTAAAAAAATTGAAAAAAAGGAATGATGTAGAGCATTGCACTACAAACAACTTTTGCCTGAGGTTCATATTGAAATCCACAACCAAATTCGAGAAGAAAATAGAAATGAGTGCAAGGAAAATGAGCAATAGCGAGATGACAATATTCAGATTGCACAATCACATTGAAAGCCAGATCGTATCCCAGTGTTCAGAAAGCAGCATTGCACCAATATGACACCAATGGAGAATCGTAACACTGAAAACCAATGTCAATGAGAGCTTGCTCTBGCCACCACCAACATATGTATCCAGGTCCTTCTCCCTACTTGGCGCTCGGCGCCCAGCCTGCTCGCTWCACAGCTACTACTAGCCTACTAATTGACCATGCAACTGTTGACGTCAGCAGCCAACGAAGTACTTGAAGTTGTCGCCTGTAGCAGACCACCGCCAATACCAGGTATGTGCTCTCACATCATCATCATCATCATCATCCTTCTCTCCCTCCCTTGTCTGACACCCACGTCTTCCCTCTATAAACCCGACGACCACCCCTGCGCCTCACTGTACATCCAAGCCCTCAGCCAGCTATGGAGGCTGGGCTATGGCGCTGCCCTCAGCAGCGCCCTGCTTCCCCACACGACCGCACGTGCGCAGCACCTTGCTCCAGTGCTAGCAGCCAGCACGCGAGCATGAGCTCCAGCAGCGCTGCCGCCAGCCAGCAAGTGCCCGAATGAGAATCCGGGCAGCGAGCTTTTTCCTATATGGAAAGAGCCTGCCTGTCTTCGCAGCCTGGCTGGCTTGGGCCTGGGCCCAGAAGCTTCCGGTAGGCCCCAGGATGCGGCGCCTCTCTTGCAGCTACTGGGCCTCATTCGGTTGGGCCTCCCAACTGTCTGTGTATGAGGCTGCGATTCTCGTCCAGGGCCTGCATCATTTTGGAAAGGCCTGGAAGGCCGTGGAATGTCTCGCTGCTCGGCCTGTGTTTTCCTGCCTGGACCCCAAATACGATATTGACAGCTTAGGGCCTCTAGTGATTTGTCAGGCCTGCCTTCACTTAGGGCAGGCACATCTGCAGCAAGAGGCCCCTTAGGCCTGCCAGGGACCCAGATCCTCGCATTCCCTCGTCCTTTTCTTCGATAGTCCTCTGAGAAGTCTTCTAATCTGCAGTCGTTTTTCCTTTCAGTTCTCTTTCATAGCCTGCAATAACTTGGGGTGCTGTTCGCATGAGCTCTTCTCTGGTGAACCACCGATCTTCCTTAGGATCCAGATGATGTTTGAGTCTCACACGGTACTGCATTCTTGGCTTAGGAGGGCGGCCTCTGCCCGGCGGTTTAGGCATTGGCATCACTCGATGCTCTATGATTCCATCGATGTCGACTTCGCCATCCATGGTTGGGGGCAGCATTGACCATCTGGAAGGAAACTGTGCAGTCTCTGTAAAAGGTGCCAGCTTAGGGTGTGTACGTAGATGAGGTGGGACGTGAATCATATAAGAAGGTCCGTCCACCTGTTCCCCCACTATGTCCAAGACCTCCCAGGGACCGAAATACTGTGGCATTAGTTTTCTAGATATTCCTAGTTCCTGTCCCAGTTCATATGACTTTACCCAGACCCTTTCCCCTACCTGAAAGTTAGAAAGTCGTCTGTGTTTGTTCTCAGATGCAATCATAGCATCTTGAGATTTCCTCATGTGCTCAACGGCTTGCTGCAGCATCTGTTCGTATGTGACAGCAAATTCTATGCTACCGGGTGCTGCAGTGGCCTGTTTCTCAGGTAGTAGGAAATCAAGGGCGGAACGGGGCTTCCAACCAAGATGCAGTTGGTTGGGAGTCATGCCAGTAGCGCTATGTACAGCGTTGTTGTACAGGCTGGCGACGAGAGGCAATTTCTCGTCCCAGTCATCCTGGCTTGGATTGATGTAGTGCCTTAATAACTGTTGCACTACTATGTTCATCTGCTTCGCCTGTCCATTTGACTCAGGGTGATTCCCTGATGTCATTTGCAGTCTGGTTCCCATCTGTTGGGCAGCGTTCTGCCACAGTTCGCTAGTAAAGCGAACATCCCTATCAATGATTATGGACTTAGGTAAACCAAAATCCCATACCCAGTTATCCATAAACAGTCTGATGACGTAATCAGTCTTGGCAGTTTCAGGCATAGCGATAGTCTTGCATACTTAGAAAAGTGGTCTACTATAACAAAGATGTGCCTTTTTCCAGACCTGCTGATCACAAGAGTATCCATGAAGTCCATGGGCACACTTTGGCCAGGACCTTCAGGAATCGGCAATAGCTTGATAAGCCCAAGCGGAGCCTGAGTCCTGGGTTTGTCCCGTTGACAAACCTGGCAGATTCTGACATACTTTTTGGCATCTTCCATCATAGAAGGCCACCAAAATTTTTGTACTAGGTTCGCTGAAGTTTTCCTATACCGAAACATCCAGTTGCATCGTGACATTCCCCTAAAAATAAACTACGCAAAGACTC